CTTAACCCTTGACTTGGTGTTATCAGCACCACGCTCTCCCGAGTGAGCCACAGGCCGGCCCGAAATAGATCATTTATACTAGTTACATCTATGTGTGTCCATTGATGAAGATGAAAGGAAATTTGGACTGTTTTAAATAATTCATCATTTAATATTCTTCATTTCTTGATTTTTTTAAATAAAGGAGGGGATGACTATGCTCTTGTCGTGATACTTTATGACTTCTCCAAGTTTTATGAGTGGGCATGCCATTGCCCAGATCGGCGGCACAATTGCTGAGGTCCAGGCTTTTTGCAAGGTTGCTTTGTGGCTTTACCTGCTGCTCTTTGCACAGCTCATGAGGGGAGGAGAGTTTACTAACTCACGCTGGAAGGGCTGTGCTCTCTGCCTTCTCTTCACAGCTTCTCCCCTGCTTTCTAGGAAGATCAGCCCATCTACTTGGCAGTGAAAGGAGTGGTGTTTGATGTCACTTCCGGAAAGGGTAAGTGACTTGGCATTTTGAATCGTTATTTCTGGGGAGCTTGGAAGCCAGAGCAGGCACCTGGAGGTGTGAGGAAAGGGAGGGAATGTTGGGCCTGTCCTTTTCCTTATATATATATATATATATATTTTTTTTTTTTTTAAAGATAACCGGTAAGGGGATCTTAACCCTTGACTTGGTGTTGTCANACCAGCATCTAATCAAGATTCAAAAGTTGAATGTGATTCGTTCTCTTTGTCTCTTCTAATTTGAGACAGTCTCATCCCTGTCTTTTCCCCCCATAACATTGGCTCTTTCTGGATTTGTCTGAATCTGTCTTCATGCTATTTTTTTTTTTTTTAAAGATAACCGGTAAGGGGATCTTAACCCTTGACTTGGTGTTGTCAGCACCACGCTCAGCCAGTGAGCGAACCGGCCATCCCTATGTGGGATCCGAACCCGGGGCCTTGGTGTTATCAGCACCGCACTCTCCCGAGTGAGCCACGGGCCGGCCCATTTTCCTTATATCTTAAATGACCAGTTTGAGTTCATCTTGTCAAGTGTTTTTACTTCAACAATTTTTTTTTTCCTACTAATGCCACCCTGCTCCTACTCCGGAGCCTTCCATGGCTCCCCATTGCTTGTAGAATCAAATTCAAACTTGATGATTTAACATAGTTGAAGCAAGGAGAAAAGTATTCTTTAGGATTCTGGAATATTATATTAAGAGCTGGCATTCTAGAATATTATACAGAACATTTTAATGCCATTTAATGGTTTCTCTAATTATAACTACAAATGATATCACGGAGGTAGTTTTATAATGGTTCATCTCTTATTTGATACCAAACACTGCTGGAGGGAAATAGACTTGACTTCCACCAACACTTAAGAAGACAAAGTATTTTTTCTTGTTTCTTTCTTTTTTTTTTTTTTGGTAAAGATGACCAGTAGGGGATCTTAACCCTTGACTTGGTGTTGTCAGCACCACGCTCTCCCAAGTGAGCCAACTGGCCATCCCTATATAGGGATCCGAACCCATGGCCTTGGTGTTATCAGCACCGCACTCTACCAAGTGAGCCACAGGCCGGCCCTTCTTGTTTCATTTTTAATATTTGTAAAAGATTATTTTCATTCGATATTTTCTAAAAATCAGCCCTCATGCGTGACTTAGTCTATATCTTGAATTAATGGAATCCAACCTGATGGCTGGGGGTGGGTTACTGGACTTGACACCTTCATTGCTCTGCTGCTCCTTGGGCCTGGAGCCTTGCTTAGAGTTGGGTGGGGCCTGTGGAGCACCCGTGGGCAGCCCCTGACTGCTCCACATGCACACCACACTCATGTCCTCTTCCTTTCCCCCACCACAGAGTTTTATGGACGAGGAGCCCCATACAATGCCTTGACTGGGAAGGACTCCACCAGAGGGGTGGCCAAGATGTCCCTGGATCCTGCAGACCTCACCCATGACACTGTGAGCCAGATAATGAGCTTTTGTCAAAATGCCCTGCCTCCTCGGCCATGGTTTTTTTTTTTAAAAAACCTTTGGTCCATAGCCAAGCTTCCTAACTAGCCTACTTACCCTCCAGTCCACTTGGTTTGTTGGCCAACCATTTTTTTTGAAAGATTATCTTACTGTGACACTCCTACTCAGAAACCTTCCATGGCTCCCCATTGCCTAGAGTCAAATCCAGACTCTTGTGAACTTGTGTTCCAACTCAGTGGTCTTCACAGTTTGGCCCCATCCTACCTTGGCAGCCTAATCCCCCTTATGGTCTACACCCACCACCCCCCAGCCCTTTACAGGTTTGTTATTAGTCTGTGGGACCTGCTCCCCAGGCCACACTTGGTAGCTTAGTAGAAGGACTGGGTTGGAAAGCAAGGTCTCCCTCTATGCTTATATTTCTGTGAAGGAGAAATAGCGTATAAAACAAACTATTCAGGGTCTAAGTAATCCCAGCAGCAAGGCTGGCATTCACTCCAATTGTGCTCAACATCAAATTGACATTGAGATAAATTGAGCTGAGTCAGACTCTTAAGCCTACAACATTACAGAAACAAATTAAGAAATTAAGAAAGGGGAAAGTTAAATTTATAGTGGGAGGAGTATAGAGAGCGGTAGGTAACGTTCATCAGGAAGGAGGAGGGGATGCACAGCACACCCCACCCCCACCCCAGGATGGGTGTCGTCTGGAGACTTTTAATTCCTACATCAGTCAAACAGCAAAAAATGATGAAGCCATTTCTTCCCCCACCAACCCATGTCATAGTCCACCCTCCATACAAGCACAGGGTTGTCTCTGAAAAGGCCAATTGTCTACTATTTGATTTGTTGACATATTTTTTCTCTTGCATTAGGGGTGTGGGGAAGGCAAGGTAGGAACAGAGAAAGTCCAGTGTAGAACCCAATTCACCTGTCTCCATCCCTTGTGCTTGTTTCTTGGGCTTTTCTCCCCAAGACGGGTCTCACGGCCAAGGAGCTGGAGTCCCTGGATGATGTCTTCACCAAAGTATACAAAGCCAAATATCCCATCGTCGGCTACACAGCCCGGAGAATTCTCAACGAGGATGGCAGCCCCAACCTGGACTTCAAGCCTGAAGACCAGCCCCATTTTGACCTAAAGGATGAGTTCTGATGCTCCCTCTGCAGGGGCAGGTTGTGGGGAGGGTGGGGCCTGGAGACACTCAGGTGCTAAATCTCCTGCAAAACAGGCTGCCTGAAGCCTCTGCGTCAGCCCGATCTGAATAAAACAGACGCTTACCCTGGAAGAGTGACAGCTCTTTATTGTCCTTGGTCGAGTGTCCTGTCTCCTCGGGTATCCCTGCCTGCACACCAGCCAGCGTGGCAATAAGAGCCAAGATGGGAAGCCTCTGAAATGTCAGCTTGGCTGTCTGGGCCATGGAATCATGAGTGACCTTTATTCTGTATCCTTTTCTGTACTTGCCAAATTTTCTACTGTGACCATGTTTACTAAATAATGATAACAAAAATAAACTTCCTATTGGTACAAAAGGAGAATTCTTCTCCATGTGCCCTCTCTTTGGAGCCTCGTCAGCACCTCTTGTGAGTGGTCCATGCTCCTGCTTTCTGTCTCCCCTGCCTGAGGAGGGGCTGGGCAGTGGGGGGCATTCAAGAAATGTGGCGGATGTGGAGAGTGATTCATAGAGGGTGGGCGATAGGAAAGGCAGGCAGGAAGCCAGGAGGGAGGGATGGCATGGACTGGCTTCAGCCCCACCTGCAGCTGGAAAGTGGGAAGGAGGACCTAGCCCAGCGTGGGCGGAGCCTGACCAAGGTCATTTCAAGGAGGTGAAGGGTGGAGCACATTCCTAATGCCAGACCAAGGTCAGAGTTAAGGAGGAAATTCCTTTGAGGGGAGGATTTTTCTTTCTAGGGGACACTGGACAATGTCTGGAGACAGTTTTTATTTTTGGTTGTCACAACAGCAAGGTGCTACTGGCATTTAGAGGCAGGAATGCACTGAACACCCTGTAATGCACAGGTCAGCTTCCTTCCCTAAAGAATTACTGGGTCCAACATGTCAGTCACGCTGAGGCTGAGAAACTCTGTGTTAGACTGGTCTTGGGAATTTTACAGTGGAGGTGAATACCCTTGATATAAAGATACAAAGGTTCTTTTTTTTTGAAATAGCAACTTCCCCAAAGAAAATTTTTACATTGAGCAGAAGAATCTCCTAGGGTAATTGTTCAAAACGTTGATTCCTGCTGGCCCGGTGGCGCACTGCTACAGTGCGCCACTTGGGAAGCGCAGCGGCACTCCCGCGGAGGGTCCGGATCCCACATACAGACCGGCCGCTCACTGGCTGAGCGAGGTATGGGAGCGACACCAAGGGTTGCGATCCCGTAGCCGGTCCCGGTCCGGTACAGGCGCGACACTGAGGGTTGCCATCCGTTGCCGGTCACGAAAAAAAGAGACAAAAAAAAAAAAAAAAAAAAAAAAAAAA